GACGTGTGCTCTTCCGATCTAAAATTTTTTGTATTTTTACCCACTGAAGATGGCTCAATGCGGAGCCGAAACGTTTGGGTGATAATTATTATTGTTAAATATTTGTAATTTTAGCACTAATTTCGTGCAAGGCTCACTAGCCCTTTATTTGATACTTTATATATATTTATTTTGAAAAATTTTAGGAAAGCTGAAGATTTTATCTTCTAAAAAGTATAAATTTCAATTCGTATAAAAAAATCTGAGAAATTTTCTAAAAAGATTTAATAAAAATTATACATAAATATAATGCATTTTATCTAAAAATGAACGCTTGGAATTGTTTAAATGATAATGAAAATATATTAGTGTACATATTGCATAAGATAGATGTTTAAAAGGATATAATTTCTTATTTATTTATTAGGAGTGTGATTTAGTTTTGAGAGTTTTTTTCTCAAAAACTGATTTATTGTACGAATAACCTAATGACCTTTATCAAAATATTTCTCTTTGTTTTCTCTAACTTTTTCTGGCAAGAGATGGATTCCGCAACGATAAAAAGAGCGATTAGCGATAAAGAGAGATTTCGGAGCCGAAACGTTTGGGTGATAATTATTATTGTTAAATATTTGTAATTTTAGCATTAACTTCGTGCAAGGCTCACTAGCCCTTCATTTGATACTTCGTTAATTTTTAAATATATATGAATTCTGAAATAGTCTAAGATTCTTCTTTGGATTTGATCAAGCGACGCGGTAGTGGCGCGACGCCAAGTACATAAAAAGAGTGATGACCGTGTGACTGCGTGGTCTTCGTGTTACTTCATTGCGCAAATATCGTGACGCTACCATAGCTTTATCTGAAATTTTTATATTAAACATACTTTCAATTCAAATATTTCAGAAATTATAACAGCAATACAAAATCTAACGACATTTTCTGATATAATGTCGATACGAACTTTCGATTGCGATCATTGCGAATAAAATTGGTCAATATTAAGATCTTGAGATCGAGTTTGTCAACTGAAAAGTGTCACTTTATTCAAAATAACATTTTCAGTCACACGTATACACATATACACGCAAAGCGATTTGTCCCTCAAGGCCAATTTTCAGAAAATCTTCTCGTCAAAATTAATAATCGATTTCAATGTACACATATACATATACATATCGATCGTTGTTGTTCAGCTGCAAGAGCAACACCATAAAATTAATAAGTACGGTTAATTAAGATTAAATAAAAATCAGCTAAAAGAGCAATAAATAATTATATAAATCGCTTAATATTATATAAAATAATTAATTAATTATTAATAATAATAAATAATGAATGTTAATAATTATTATACGGAAAGAACAATTTTGCTCCAGATCTGAAAATAATTTTTGTTCAATAATCAAAATAATTAATGTGTGATAATGATGTGTAAATAATAATGTGTGAAAGTCAAAATAATTGCTAGAATATCAAAACGTTTTATAGCATTACTTATCAGTTTTAACATTCCAACAAATTATTTTGATGATTCAATAAAAAATTATTTTTAGATCTGTTTTTAGCAAAATTTTT